CTTACGGGGTGTGGGGACGGGGCAGAGGTTGTCCGGAGAGGACAGCGATGGCGAGATCAGACCAATACCGTGTTCCTTACATCTAATTAATAACTAATATGCGTCGGCTTTTGTATTTCTCGATTACCTTTATCTCGAAGACCTTTGGGATTCTTATTTTTTCCCCGAGGACCCCGTTTAAAATCTCGGTCCCGGGGCCTCTAAATGACTTATTCCTGGTTCGGATGTAACCACGGCCGCGAATTCGATGCGCTAAAAAAACTACGTTTGCCCCCTCTTTTTTCCCTGTGTTTATATTCTTAAAAATGTCCGCGAGCATCACTGCGGCACAAGGTCGAATAATTTTCCCCCGACGATGTTTCGTTGCTAATATTTTTTCCGTAAAAAACGATAAAATATATAACCGAACGCCATAAATAGAACATAATACCTGCAGTGTTTTGAACGAATGCGCGCACATAGTAATAACGCTATCGTTTTTTTATTTTTTTTTTTTTTAATGTCAAGGAATGGTGAATCGTCCGTAATGTACGTCGGAATGTCAATGTTAATGGTACAGACAATTTCCCCCGGAACGCAATAATTTTCGATGAACGCGAAACGCGCGTCGATTGCGAAGTCATAAGGAATGGCGAAAGGGAACAACGCGTTCCTTTTTTGAAAAGGAATTTACGCGCAAACGGCGAATGTCGCGATAAAAAAAAAAAAAAAAAAAAAAAATTATATACTCTTCCGTTGCAACTGCAGTGTTCTACACGGTTAAATGTGTTGAACGTCGAATTTTCGTTCGGGCGGACGCCCCGCCGTTGTGCCGTTCGTTTTCGATTCGGAATGCGAATTCTCGATACTTAAATGTCAAAACCCGGTTTAGGTTCGGTGTTTTTCAAGCGGGACATAAAAGTCGTTTGAACGTCGTTATGTTTCGGAAATTGAAATATCGAGGAAAAAAAAACACTCAATGCGAACCGCGCAAACGCTGCGGACACCGCACACTTACGCTTTTGCGTTCGACAACCCATATCCGTTGTAATTTCGTAAAACGAACTATCGGACATCCGGCGGAACGAATATCCGAACGATATCCGATGTATATGCTACGTTTCCGAGCAGAGTTGGCGGAGTGTTTTTTTTATTTTTTTTTAATTTCAGTAGTCGCTATGTATTGTTTTTTTTTTCCCCCTAAGGATTTTTATAGCGAGTTACGTGCACGGCCGTGGCAATATAACCGAACGGAAACCGTAAAACGTCCGCGGCGGCAGCGGCGATAAATCGGTTTTTATTAATTAGACTCGCGCGGCGTGTGCGTGGGTGTGTCGGCGCAACGGTTTTTTTTCGCCTCTATCCTATACGCACCCCGCGCAGATCGTATCAAACGATCTTATTAACCGTATTAACAGCATTATCGGTACAACAGAGGTGTATACCCGTTTATTATTGTTTTCATTTTCTTCTCAGTCACGATACCCGGCCGGTTCCGACGATAATTAATAATTATTGAAATGTGTATACGTAATTATCATACGTACACGGACAATCGTCGGCGTAAAAAACGAAAAAAAATAAATAATTATGTATATATCTGGGAACGATGTGCGAAAAAATAAATATTTTCCGCCGCGTAATCGTTGAAAATCGTATCGCGCCACCCGAAAACGGCGATACGTCGCGCGATTATTCTTTTTCGTTTCCAACGTCACCTTAGTCGACAATCGAAAACGATTTATTGTGGGGACCTACCCTTAAAGTCGGTCGGAATTGGTCGAAAACGATTCGTTACGTCATAATAATAATATAAACGAGTGCGTTTTTTTTTTTCTGACGTGACGTCTCCGACGTAATAATATGTCAGAAAAAAAAAAAAACCGACCGACCGACCGACCGACGCGAAAATCAAGACGTATTACGTATGAGTACGTTACGCGCGTTATTGTAATGGGTACCCGCGGCCCTTCAGGAAAAAAAAAATAATAATATTAATAACCGCGCGGACCGGCGCAGCTGCCCGCGTAAACGACCGTATTGTTTATGGCGACGTCGTCGTCGTCGGCCGCGGACGAGAACGTCCCGTCGAACAACCGCGCCGTCCCGCGGGACGCGTTTCGTCGGTAAAAAAAAAAAATAAAAAAAAAATCACCGACGACCTCGTCCGTCAATCTCGTGCGGCGTGTACGCGCGCGCTCGCAAGAGCCGTCCGCGCGGGCCCCCTACACTGCACGCGTATCGTTATCGTCGTCGTCGTAACGACGCCTCGTCGGGCCCGCGTTCCGAGCGTACCGCGGTAATCCGACCGCCGGCGCACACGTACACGTGTACACTGCGCGTATTATAAACGGCCAATGACAAATAATTACACGTACACCGGCCCGGCACAATAACGGTCGTTACGCCGTCGTGTACACACGCGGCTGTTACAATGGCGAACGTACGAATACGGTGCGGCGTATCGGTATCGGGATGCCCCGTTGTCGGGACGTCTTCCCCCGCGGGCCGGACCCGGGGACGTCCCGCGGCGCGCGGAACGTTTAGCGCGAAACCCGATAAGAAAAAAAAAAAACACAAAAACACAAAAAGACAAAACGTCGTCGTCGCCGTGTCGGATACGGATGAATCGTACGCCGCCGCCGTAAATATACGCGGCGCGGTCGGCGTACGCGGGACGGCGGCGTGTGTCCGGTCGCCGTCGTTGTCGTTTTGTACGACACGTACGGCCAATACGTATCGGCGCGAAATCTTGTTAAACACGCGCGCGCGACCGGTGCGGGGCGGACGACCGGTGCGGTTCGGCGCATTATAATAGCGGTACACAAAGGCGAGGGTGTACGCCGCCGCCGCCGCACGGTACACATCATGCGCACGCGTATAATGTATACCGGAGTAGGTACACGCCACCCCTGCAACACGACAACAACAACAATAATAATAATAATAATAATAATAGCGATAACAATAACAACGATAATAGATATAATATTATACGTGCGTACGTACGCGTTTACAAGTCTTGCGTGTGCGCGCGCGCGCGCGGGCGCGTACAATAGAAGACGATACTGCCGGACGGGCACGTGCTATCACGTCGCCGTCCCGTGCGCCGCGGCCGCCCGCCGCCGGCGGCGGCACGACGGGGCGACGGCGGGGGGACGGGCGCGGCGGACGAAAAACGACTCACGTGGGCGGCACGAGTCGCGGCGGCGGCCGGCGACGGGCGGACGTCACCCTCTCGTCGCCGCCACCGTCGCGTGACATTTAACGTCCCGCGCGCCGCCGCCGGACCGCCGGGAAAGACGAGCGGCGGTTTTATATCATTTTATTATTAACTATTTTTTTTTTTTCTTCTCTATTTTTCGTCATCTCGGTCGCGATGATACTTTTTACGTGCGAGTCGAAACCGCGTCCCGCGCGGGACGTGAGTCAATGCCGTCTCGCCGCCTTTCGGTGCACGTTTTCCACACCGCCGCCGCCGGTACGCGAGACGCATATGCGTATCATACGTGTCGCGGGCATTATATTAATACACAGATAATCGATTTCGTAACGGTTTTCGTGTATGTTATGCCCGCGATATTATACAATACAATAATACTACGCGTGTGTGCGTGTATACTTTTCGGACGGGCCGTCGTCGCGCGCACGCTCCGACCGTCTCGCCCGCCGCCGCCCGCTCGTTACTATAAATTATTATTGTCATTATCGGATAACACCTATGTGTGGCGGATCAAAAGCGTAAGAATACATGATAAAAAAAAAAAAAAAAATGAAGAATAAATAACAATAATATAAAAACCTACGGTTCGGGCGCGCGCCCGCTCGTGTATCGTAACAATATTATAATGACCGCCGCCGTATACAAATACGTGCGGTATAAACGCGCGCGTGCTGCAGCCGCGGCGTGCGGGTCGTCGTTTTCGTGCCGCGATGACGGCGGGAAAATTATCGCGTGACAATAATCGCGGAGACGACGACGACGACGACGTTACGGCCGCGGCGGCGGTGACGGCCACCGGTCACCGCCGTCGCCGCCGAGAAACAATGACCGTGCGCGCGGCGGCGGTGCGGCGGTTTCGCCGGGGAGATTTTTCCGTCCACGCGGGACCGTGGGCGGCGGAAACGCGCGGCGGCCGACGGTACCGCGCGCGCATTGTCTCGCGGGACGCGCGCGACGTTCTCGACGTTCTCGACGTTCGCTGTATAATATACGCGTATTGTTCGTGTAAAATCGGAAAGACAATAAAAAAAAAAAAAAAAAAATGATAATAATCGATGGACCTCCGTTTTCGCCTGGCGAGATTTTATGCACGCGTGCCGTTTGCGAATACGAAGAATCGAAAAATCCGGGGGAGCAGCCGGAATGCTGACGGTTCAAAAAAATTTTCAAAAAAACCGTTACAGACGCGCGTCCAGTAACGAGAACTTTCAAAGTCAATCTCGTACTGGATCCGCAGCTGTCGATAACACTTTCTCTCTCTATCTCTTTGAGAACGACGGCAATTTAACGGTCGCAAAGTTCTAAAAGCGAAATGTTCGATACGGACACCGCGAACGAACCGTATACACTCGGAGATTTATCGTTTTGAAAATGTCTTCGCTCCGAATTAACGAAAAAATAAAATAGAAATATTTACTACGAACAATTCATATTTTGTTCATGCTGTTCGCATTGCATAGATAAAACGGTAACGAAAATCGCGATTTTATCAGTCGTACGTTCGCTATCAGATTTTCGATCAACGATAGCGTATTTATAATTACTTTTATAAACAATTACAATTTATCGGATGCCGGTTACAATTAGTTGCTTCAAGGTTAATAATTTCTGAAATTGGTCGATTGGACATAGTCTTGACAAACAATTGGGATATTATTTGTCGGACGTTGGAACGTCCGTATGCACCAAATAGATATTTGTTGCCGAAAACAAGAACAAAACGGCAACCCTTTGACCGTTTTCCGCTTTTGACCGTACACGAAAACGTCTCTAGAAACACGAACATTTTGTCGCCAGAATGAATTTCGTCGCGGACAATTTTTCCATTTCGTCTCCGGTCAGTCGCGAGACAGGCAGTTGTGCCGCCTCGGTGTGGTCCCGGCTTTAAGTTGATTTCCCAGTGTTGTTTACGGTTGTGAACTCAAGCCGAGCATATTGAGAATCTACGAGCACAAAACTGCATAATCAGATTTAACCGTTCGGAAAGCCGCTAGCGGAAAACTATACTACGAGACACTCGCGTGTAGTACGATAATTTTTATTTGCGTGGACTGCGGGCGGCGGTCCGAGGTGCAGCGACACGAAGAGAAGTCGCACGCGTGGTTCAGAATTACTTTATGCGAACCAAGTATAATGGAAATGTATTACATATAGGCTGGAGAAGTTCTCGGTTGTCAGACGCGTCGTACGGCGAACGGCACGTGGGGTCAGCCTACCCGGGGATCTGAAAAATCGATCGCGGCAAGACGTTTGGGTGCATTAACGGAACTGTTTACAAGTTTGTTGAGGAAATTTCGGTCAGCTACGCCCTTCTGTCGGATAAAACTACACCTATGAACTTTTGGTGACGATTCTATAGTGTGCTATAGTAGTACATTCACGAATTCGCAAATTTCACACAATTTTTTTTTTTTTTTGTCGCCCAGTTTTGTACGTTTTTTTTTTGTTTTTTGTGTTAGATTCGCCTTGATTATTCGAACTCGTAAAATGATCGATTCGTTCGCACCGACATAATTCGATACTTACGAATCCCGTTATCGAACATCAAAACTCTTCCGGTCTTATAAAATGACACAAATGCATTCAAAGAACATTTGACTTTTAGCAAAATAGCCGGTCATACTTTTCGCGCGACTTTTTTATACACCGCGCGTGAAAAAAAAACCCCCCAATTGTAATCAGCAACGTCGCGTAACTCTTTTCAATCGCATTAAAGATAATAAATGTTAACCGACAAATAACCGATTCTGTTTTTAACCCGGTAATATTTGTTACGCCGCAGTTCTCACTTGTAGATGGTCGGTAAAACGAACGACGCTGCCGTCCCCTTGAATATCTCGCGACGCAACGGATTTTCGTACAATGTTTCGGAACTTGACATTAGGAATTTTAAATTTTCGTCGAGACGCACGTCTGCAGCGCCACTAACGGTGTACAATGACTCGACGAAAAGCACATGTACGGCTAATACAACTAGAACGAAAGTAAATAGCCGGCTGTTACGACGTTTCTATTGCGTACGTTATCACCGTTCAGATAAGATAAGATGTCGACAAATCCATAATCTCCCCGACGAAAAAAAAAGTACAGAAATACGTTTTACATCACATTACGTTATCGTTCGGTCTCGTTGTTGCGTCAAAAACGACCGCACGCTTGCGTTTCGTACGTTTTATGCGTAATTTTGGGATTTCTGTGCGTTTATATTTAATATTATTGAACGAAAATAAATACGTGTGGATTTAAATTTCGAATTTTGTCGGTTTACGTTCTTGATGCACGCACGACATCCGGTGTAACGAAAAATCGTCTAGACTCCCGACAGTTTTTCTACCGAAAAAAAAAAAAAATAATAACAAAAAGATACGGACCTAACCGCGGTCGGGTCACGGTTGTAGCTGGTGAGAGAAGTTGGGAACATAGATGGGAATTTCATATATCTGCTGTAATATCTGCACGCAACGGTTAATCAACGAAAAACGATTCGGAGCGGCAAGCTCGGCCAATATAGTATCGATTTTTCAACAATGTGCGTTTTTGCGACAGTTGATAAACAACGAAATTGTAAAAACTTCACGATAACGAAAAATTAATAAAAACGGTTGCCGATGGCGATCGATTCGTTTCGCCAAAAGAACTACTAGCTTTCCCACGTTATCTCAAATATCAATGAGAATTTCGAGAAATCGACTTTTTTTCAAAGTACCAATTAGAGCCGAAACGCGACAAAAAAATAATCTCACTCGCCGCGTTTTCCGGGCGGACATTTTTTTTACACGGTATAAAAAAATAACAACAATAAACATCATTGTAAAACCAATACGTTCCTCGCTCCGAATCTAAAAATACTATACGGTGTAAACTTTACGTTGTAAATATCATGTTTACACGCCGTGAATGCTTTGCCATCGCTGGACAACGGCGTGAAATATCATAGTCGCGGCAACAATAACGACTACAATAAACGCGGTTCTCTAGGTCCGCGACGACCGGAAATGCCGTCCGCGTCACCGAGGCGACCAAAGCGACCCATCGGAAGCGCAATTTAGACATCGCGTACCGGGAGATATTTGGAAAATCTCCGTTTTACCCGCTCGTTTCTCGCGTCTCACGGTACCCGGATTCCGGTAGGAGGACGGTCGTTTTCCGAGATGCGGTCGCCCCGTATACGGGCCAAGAGGCCGTTACGCCCGCGCCCGCCGTCTCGGTCCGACTACCGGGTAACGCGCAAAAAAACAACGCATACGAGTAAAAACCGGCCGAATTTCGATTCTAGAGTAAAATCCCCCGTTACGAAACGCGCGTAGCGAGAACGGCGTTGTTACGGCCGTAGGGTTTTTCGCGATTATTATTACGGATTCACGGCCCGATACGCAATGGGTACGAAAACCGTTTTGTTTTTCAAACGGCTAAAACTTTTTTAACGTTGTCCGTGACTGTTCGAAAAACGCCCGTGCCCGTCGCATCCGAGAAATCGACGTCCCGTACGCTAGGTACGCTTTTAATCTCGAACCGAAATCAAGTCGGTTTCGCGCGTTCCGCGGAACCGTTGCAGATTCGGCCGCACGAGTCGAATGCGAAACGAAATATTATCGGGTTTATAGAATTTTACCATAGTGTTTTTGTCGGTCGAATGGCCGACGATGATTATCGTTTATCTGGCTGTTGGGTTTTTTTTTTTTTTTTTTCCCCCCCTCCACTCCCCGACCGCGAAAATATAATTACCGCGCGTCCGGCCGCGGAGGTCGAACGACGACGACGGCGACGACGACGACGACGACGACAACAACGACGACGACGACAACAACGAAAACAACGTTGTCGCGATTTCGGGGAAGTCCCGAGCGAGCCGTCGAGGCGTCGTCGCGACGGCTCCGGTCTCGTGTCCGTTCGTGCGCGATCGGCCACCGGTCGTAGGCTGCGGCGGCGGCGGTGTTGGCGGCGGCGGCGGCGGCGGTGTTGGCGGCGGCGGTGGCGGTGCGCGTGTGTGCGCGCCGGCCGTCACCGCGGCGCGGAGCGCCGGACGTCACGAGCGCGCCAGGTATGGGTCGGCGACGTGATCGCGGAGCTCTCCGGCCGGCCAGTGGCGGTCCGGACGTTCGTCGTGTGTCATCTTCACGAGTGTACGCGTCCCGAACGACGATCACGTGTCTCACGATCGGGTTCTAACAATAATAAAAATAATACAGAAAAATACGCCGAACGCAACACGCACGCGCCGGCACAACACAACAACAACCACAATAAATACACGAACACAACGATATCGTTATATTATATTGTTGTTTTTTCCGTTTTTTTTATTTTTTTATTTTTTCTGATTTATTTACGCACGCCGTCGCGTAACGCGCAATAATATCAGTTTATTTTTTCCGTCCGTAAATCGGATTTGTGTGCGGTCTCGTTTCGTTTCTTTTTTTTTTTTTCTCTCTTTTTCCACTGTTTCTCTACACTCGCGGCGTAAATCGTATCGTTTTTTTTTTTGTACGCCGTGCGAGTTTCCGAACATGTACGGCGGTCGTCGTGAAGTTTCGACCCTGTGCGGCTCGCGGAAATCGCACGTTTTTTCCGTCTGCCGCCGTCGGATTCGTGCCGTCAATAAATAACGACGGAACGGGAAAACACGGTTTTCAACAGGTTAGAAAAACAATATTATTTTTTTTTTTATCGTAATATTTTTTTTTTCTATCCCGCCCGACCCCCTTACACGGGCCGTTGCGGCCCGTCCGTTTGAAACGCGGACGATAATACGCGCGTACGAACGGTCTTCCGGTCGGATTTTCACGCGACGCGTACTCTCCGCGTTTCGAATGTTATTCACGAAACCCGGATTTTTCACACCGGGGCAAAAAATGGTCCGTTTTGCGTTTCGAAATCGAAAAAAGTAAAAACGTTTTTTTTTTTTTTCGAAACAGCGCGAACGCTTTTTCCCCCGTCCGTACCCCGGCCGATCGCCGTAATTTCGAGAACTCGGTAGATTTTTATCCCGAGCACGTAGTGGAAAAAAAAAAACAAAACTACTATACAGTACGCGCCGTCGCGATGAGAGGGGATTCAGGGGTGGGGAGGCTTTTTTCGGGACGTGTTGATAACGCGGGCGCTCGGACCGACTTTTCGACGCTGTCCGAAATACGCGTACACAGTGTAATTTATCGGTCGGTTTTTTTTTTCTCAACGGTAGTCGTCCAGATATTATAAAATAGAGACGCGCGTGTCGATTCGAATTATCGGACGAGAACAAACATTTTTTTTTTTCCGACGTCTTAACGCCTTAACGTTCGAGACGGTGTATTTTTCGTTTTAGCGGTAAAGCGGTCGTTGGAATTCTCCCCGGGGGTAGTCTCGCGGGGTTCTTGGGGGATGGTGAGCGGTGGGGGCCGCCGTTAATGTGTCGTCCGTCGTAATCGCGTTTTAATTGCACACGTAGACCGAACGGACGGACGGACTTAAATATAATTTTTTTTTTACCTGTATACACTGCAGGTATAAGCACGTCGTACGTCGTACGCGACGAGCAAATTGAAATTTAAAAAAAAAAAAAAAAACGGTATTATTGTTCGAACGACACATCCGGTGGAAAACGCTGAACGGCCATTAATAAAAAAAAAAAAAAAAAAAAAAATTAATAATAATAATAATAAAAATTTGCAAAAATAAAAACACCCGCGCGACGATAAATTTCGCCCGACCGACGAAATTCTATTCCGTCGCCGTCGCGAGCCGTTTCACAAGACGTTTTTCGATGATATTATGTCTGCGACGGGAAAAAAAATGCACCAAATCGACACAAAAAAAAAAAAAAAAAAAAAAAAAAAAAAATTCGTTCCGATATTACAAATTGGATTTTCCGCGCCACTTCTATTTAAAAAAAAAACGGTAAAAAAAAATTAATAATAATTACAATGATAATAACGACGAAATAAAAACGTAATTTATTTTTAGGACTCGTCGTTGGGATTCGATACAATGATAATCCCGTCGAAACGAGTGTTAGGAATACTTCGAATCTAAAACAGTATAATGATATCAAGACCGCAAAATTTCAAAACCCGCATGTTTTTACCAACCGTTCGCAATCGCCGATGATAAAAAATTTCGGGGCTCGGATTTTACAACACCGAAACGCGGGGTTTTTTTTTCTTTCAACACACAAACCGTTGAGAAGTCATCGCGTATTTTAATTACGAAACCGCACGGACGACGGTTGTTTTCCCGTACAGTTTACGAAAAATAACGAAACAAACCGTGTAGGTCGTAAGTCTTACCGTCGGACTTGGTTCGGCGTGAGTCTTGCGACAACAACACGACGGTAAAATCGTCAGACGCGTCACGCGGACGCGACGAACCCGCGGACGTTTCGACGTGGCCGGTCGCCGTAAATTAATATTTTATAGTTTTTTTTTTTTTTTATTTTTTTTATTTCTAACGACGTTTTATCGAAACGCCGTACGACGACCGACGCGTTTCGATTATCGTTAATTATTATTATCGCCGTTCCCGATTCCCCATCATAACGACCGTTTTGTGCGTACCGATTAGGGTTCCGGAGGGATCCCGTGCGTTTGAAAAAGAAAAAAAAACACTCGTAAGACCAAAACGATGATTTCCGCGGTGAAAATATATCGAAAAATCGAAAAAACTACGGGTATTTCCCCGTACGAGAACGACACGATTCGGCTAATGACGGGAGACAGGTCTGCAGGTTTCTCCGAGAGTTTTATTTATTTTTTTTTTTACGCTGTTTTTCCCATCGAGATTGTTCCGGCAAATATACGCGAAAGATTATTTATTTTTAATTTCTCAACCCAACACGTATTGGTATGGAAATGTACAAGTTAAAATCCGAAAGAAAAAAAAATGATTTTTTTTTTTTATATAAATAAAACGCAGGTGTTTACAAATTTAAAAAAAAAAAAAAATGTACGTATACGTGTTACGGCTAATGCGCGATGATCGACGCGTATTATAATAATCGTTTTCTGTGCGTTTGGCGAAAATATACAAAATCGTTTTTTTCGGTAGGTTTTAATGGAGCCGAAGTTACGCAGTTTTGTTTTTATTTTTATTTTTTTTTCGTACGATTTTTATCGGGTAAAATTGCGGGTTTCCCGTATACGCGACGCAGAAATCCAAAATGAAATCCAAAACGAAATTAAAAGCCGCCGACAAATGTCTCGATTTCAAAACCGTCATTCGCGTATTGGATTACGATTTTTTCGGCGAATATTGGCGAATAAACGTTCTTGTCGGGGCGGAGACGTCCTTCGATATTCGGCCGTCGCTCTCGAAACGACCAGATTGCGGATTCGCGTTTGGAAAATCCCGCGGGCCGTCTCTGTTTCGCATTTTTTGTTATTTTTTTTTTTTTTTTGTTCGTCTTTCTGGAACACCTTAGCGCCGCGCTCGTACACCGTATAGAATCTACGTTACGATATTTTATGCAAAGTGATGCGCGTACATTGTCGTCTCGGTCGCGACAATAATTAACCCGGACGGCCCGGAAACGCCGTACGAAACGAAAAACGCCCGTCGTTTACCTATAAATAATACATAAGACGGGAAAAAAAAAAAGAAAAAAAAAGGGGCTGAATATTCAACAGTATCAATCGCTCGGTACGTACGCGCCGTCGGGGGAGGTACGCCGGCGCTTCCCGTTCAAACGTCGAACGTTATTCGAAGGTAATAATTAATTAGGCGCCCGCGTGTGGCCCATACGTGTTGTTGGGTTATATTATCATATTGTCGAGGATTTCGTCGTGGATGTACCGCCGCCCGATGACCTTTGAACAGGGATTCGGCGGGTGAATGCCGTACGCGCACGACCCGCCTGCTTGTCATTAACGAAACGACGACGGCGAAAAACGGCGCATCCTGCCATTGTGTCCATTGTCGAAAAATGCATAATGACTTTCGAACGCCGCGGCGCATTATAAACTCGCCGTAAACTCGCACGGAAATACTGTGCGTGCCGCGTTCCGTTCGCCCGGACGATTTCGGCCCGTATTTATTGTCGCGTCGCCGTTTACCGATTTTGCGGGTCCCGGATGATATTCGTGTTTTCGCAGTGACGCGTTCCGTCACGAAGCTTCAAGATATTGCGGGGGCGGAAATCGAAGACGAATCGGCTTTACAATAAGGATACGAATCGCGGGCGGAGAAACCCGAACTCTACGCACGTTGAACCGCTAAGAAAACGGCGGGGAAAACGCCGAAACGACCGAAGACGACGGCGTTACACGGTCGACGATAGGTGCGAGATTTACGAGAGGTTTAGCGATGAAAAAAAAAAAAAAAAATCTATTGCTACCGCGCTCCGCTATACGGGGCGATTTTTTTTTTTTTTATCACGAACCAGCAATTATTATCTCGGAGGATTTTATGCGAATTTGATTTCTGTTTTTTCTAATCATTACGGAACCGTTTAGGCATCGTTTTAAAACCGTTTTTAATTCATTACCCCGGCTGCTCCGGATACCTTAAATAAGCGCACACTTTTGATTTGCAAATAGGAATCCAACCCCATTTAAAGGAAAATTTTTCTAGAAAAGTTGATATGCATAACACTTGTATCGGATTTACCGTTTATGAGTTATAACAGTTTAAAGTTTAGACCGTTGTTCACTCATATTATTCACGAAATCAAAAACGGTTTGAAAATGACGCTCAAACGATTCCATTGTGATCAGAAAAGACAGTGATCGAATTCGCACAAAATGCTCCGAGATAATAGTTGCCGGTTCACGATAAACAAAAAAAAAATCCGCCCTGTATTGTACGATAACGTTCTGTATGCACGCGTTTTACCAATCAAACACAACACGCATAATATGCGCAAATATTTACTGTTACGGCGTCGTGTCGTAACGTTTTCGTTGTTTTTTTCTTTGTTTTTTTTTTTTTTTTTTTAAACGATTAGAAAAAAACCAATACTGTGTAACGTTCGCGCGCGCGTTGCACAGGATATTCGATATTATTGTTTCAGAGTGTATTCGCGCGGAGGGCAATGGCGGGAAAATTGATTTTCGCGTGTTATGAGTACGACCGCGCGCAACACGCCCGGACGAGAATGTAGGCCGACGAATCGCGGGCGGTGTTGTTGCCACACGCCGGAGCGAACCGCCGTGTTTGTAAACGTGTTTTCCGAAACGACGTTCCGGTGTTGCGAAAAAAAAAGAAAGAAAAAAAGAAAACACGCGTATCGACGGAAAAAGAAATGACGACGACTTCTTGGGACTGGGGGGAGTGTCGGCTGCGATTTCGGACGAAAACCCGACAGGTCTCCGCGCGCGTAGGAGTGTATTTTTATCGGGCGGCGACGGGGCGCGACGCGAGCACGGCAACGGTTTCCCCGATGGGGGCAGTTAAGAATCGGCCGGAAAAATCCGTTGAAAAAAAAAAATAATTATGACTATTTCTATTTTTAAAAGGCGAATCATGAAGCGCAGTGCGGGTCCACTCCAGTGCATGTACGGTCGCGTTCCGAGCGTAACGGTAGATCGCCGCGAACGGAACACTTTGGTCGAAAATAAGAGAGTATAATTTCTCCCCTCCCTTCCCCTACCTCCATAGAATGTAACATCGAACGCGTTCGGTTTTGCCGTAGAAATCGTTCAAAACGGAAACGTTATGAAATCGTACCTGATGAATTATTATAATCGTTTTCGAATGTTCTTCGTTACGGTATTATTGAAGTTTTAACGGCGAAATCCCTTTTTGGTGTCTATCGATTGTTGTCAGATTGTTTGGACGTCTCGCCGTCGCCGGTGGATGTCGGTAGTCGTGACGGGCAGCGGCGTACCTTGTCGCGCTTAAAACCGTAAAAAAATAAACCACAGAAAAAAAAATAAAATACATAAGTGATACTAGAGACGAGTGAGTACGGCCGCTGTTGGGAGTGAAAATTCGGGAACGTAGGACGCAGAGGGGAATTTGATTTATATCTGTACGATTTAATCTAACGGAAAACGATACTGAGCGGAACTTTTTCAACAATGTGCGTTTTCACGACAACGATTGTTTAAAAAAGATTTAAAATAATAAAAACTCAATAATAACGAAATAGTAAATAAAAACGGTTGCCGGTGACAACTTGAATTTTTAATATTATTTAACCTAACCTAACTATTTTTTTCCTGGTGATCATTTCAAACAATTATTACTGCCGTTCCAAAGATATCAACTGCAGAATTAAAATGTGACAAAAAATGTTTCTTGTTTTTGATTTTCACCGAGATTTCTTGGAGAAAAGTGGTTTATAGACAAATAAAAACAACACGCATCGTAGTAAAACGACGGATCTCTCGCTTCGCCGAGAATCTAAAAAAAAATAAATAAATTATCTAAAAAGAGTTTTGAAAGTCCTGACGGCTTCGACCCCGCGACTGCGATATTGTCTGCAGACACTACACAATCGGTTAACGCGTAGTAATTTTTCTTAAAAATAAAATTGCGACTAATGCAAACAACTTTGCGACGTCAATCGTCCGTGTAGTGTTTGAAAATATTATAATGGCAGTTGACGAGTTGAGAGATTTCAAACGGTTCTTTGGTTTTTTCCGAGAGGTTCTTTGACGTTTTAAAGCGCTTTTTTTTTTTTTTTTTTTTTTTTCTAAGTGACGCATATCAACAATTATTACACCGAATCCCCGATTGATCATCGGTGACCGCGACCGAACCGAACGCGTGTCTTGTCCTCGGGTCGTTCGCTCCAGTGCCGCGCGGATATTTTTTCCGCGATACGTCCGCGTCGTCGCACGGCGGCCGGCTCGCGGGTCGGTGTAGAGGGGGAAGTCGTGAGAGGGGGGACGGACAGTGGCGATGGGGAACAGTCTCCGCGGACACTGTGACGGCGGCGGCGCGTTGCCTAACGGATCGTCTCCGTCGCGGAGAGGAGGACACGGTCCGCGTCTTTTGGTACGTGCGCGAGTGGGTAGGCTCTTGTCCGGGCGCGGGCGACCAATAGCACGTGCGTTTCGATTCGGATTTTTTTAATTTTTTTTTTTTACCTACCGCTCCTCGCACGCTTCGTCGGATACTTCGGCGGCGGCGGCGGCGGCGGCGGCGTCCGTACGAGGGTCGCGGAATGTCCATTGTCACGTGTGCATTGTCGGCCGTAAACACGGGTACACACACCGTAACGACGTGGTGCGCCGAGGGGACGGGTATTGCGGGTACGCGGGGCGACCCGCGGATCGTTGCGCAACGCGACGTTTCGAAACGCCGTCGTCCCCCCACGTACGCGGCGTACAGGGTGCATCAGGACCGTTTGGCATTTGCGCTCAGTAACCGCACGGTAGTTGAAAACCTGTCACGGTTACGCGGTACGCGCGAAAAATGCGTTTTGTGTGTGATCGTATGCACGCGACGGGGCCGCGTTTATACGTTTATGCCCGAGCGCGAACCACAGCTGCAGGATCACCCGGTGTTACAATGACTTCTCCTCGGACTGGTTGCGGACATTTGGATTCATCAGTACCGCGCGCGCGACTCCGGGAAAACCGCCGCGGTCGTCGCGCGCGCGTGTTGTTCCGGTTCCGCCGCGTGAAAACCGTCCGCGAATCGCTCCGGGAAACGGCCGCGTAGGAGTATGGACGGGGAGGGGGGCCCGGGCCGGCGGAGGGGGCCCACGCGCCGGCCTCCGTTTATAGGCCGCGCGTGCGCTCGTCGCCCACTCGCGAAAAAAACGCTCCCACAATATTTACGCCCACCTACGCCGCCCACGTGAACAATAACGATAACGATAATGATGATAAAAGTATAATAACAGCAACAATAACGATAATTTCGAAATCGTTTTATTTTCCTTCCTTCAAACTTCTCGTGCTCGCGCCACGTCGTCCCTATCAGGTACCGGGCCGGGCCGCCACCGTCGCACACCCCGGCGTTCGGCCCGGCAAAGCGTACCGCGAAATTTTTCCGAAAATTTCGATTCTCACGCGAAATAAATTACGCGTTCGGGTCGGATGGATGCGGTCCGGCCGTCACGGTTCGGCGCGCACGGGAAGGAACAGAAATTCGCGCCGCCTCCTTCTCCGTCTCCTCCTTTTCCTCGTCCTCCTCCTCCTCCGCTAATCGCCGACGCGGAAAAACTATATTATCATCGTCGTCGTACAACGATAGAGAGAGAGAGAGAGAGAAAAAAAAACGTTATCCGAGTTATTATACATCTATTACAGAGTTACGTGCGTGCGAAACGGAGGAGGATCGACCGCCCAAATACGCGTTGCCCCGTCGTCGTGAGATTTATCCGCACCGCAATCTGTACAGGCACTGCGTAATTACGTCGGCTTAGAAATTTCAGAGCTGCGGGAATTAAGAACGGAGGCGAGCCCGAGTCTTCGGATATTTACGGCGCGGATCGTGTCCGATGCGACAAAAGCCGTTAAAATAATAACAGTGAACGCATAACATATATTGGTACACTATTATTGATTGTTCTGTAGGCGGATCGTATTTCAGATTCGGAGCCTACCGAATACCTCGCTCCGGTATGTCAAACGTAGCGCCTTTTCCGAGTGGAAATTTCATTTTCTCGGTCACTTTTCGATTTGAACGAAAACGGGAAAACGTGCGTAACGACGTGTACGAAAGAAACGTCGCTCCGGGTCGTTTTTTCGTCAGCGGCGGTTTCGTAGCCGCACGCGTATAATAACCGAATTCCCCGCCGATATCGTATCCCACCTTTACCGACTCGCAGCCTACGACATCGGCCCGCCCGTCGCGCGCGCGCTACGTCCGTATTCTCGGTGGGTCTCGCGACTCGTTTATTTGTTTTCCCGTCGAGGGCCCGCGGGCAACAACCCTCGTGTTACGTGCCGCGGGCGTACGACGACCGCCGCGTGTTTATCGATTGGACGGCCGTCGCGCGGTTTCGCGGAACGGTGCGGCGCGGCGCGCCGGTGGTTAACGACCTCCGGTAACGTTATAGAAATCGAAACGGTTCACGGTCATCGGCTGAGGAACGGGCGACCGGAGGGCGGCAACGGCGGTGGCGGCGGCGGCGGTTAACCTGTTGACGCTAGGCGCGCTCGCGCGAGCAACAGGTCGCGTACGCGGGCCGGGACAATATCCCGAACCCCCTCCCCCCCACCACCACCGCCGCCCCTCCCGCGCGCGACCCGCCGCCCGCCGTACCCTCCGAGTTTTACGCTCGCCCGTAGCCACGGCGTTTCGCAGTGTACGCTAGCGTACGCTATATACGCGCGCGACCGCGGTTTTATTGTATCGATCCCTCCGGAATCAATGTCAAGGACGCCGTTCGGCGGATTCCGACGGCTCCGCCAGCACGTGGCGCCGCGGCCGTACGCGCGGTTCCGTTCGATTTTCCCGTAGGTTTGTTTTCGCGTCCGCTCCGCCGCCGCCCATCCGCCGACCGTCCCGCGGACCGCTTCGGCTCGGCCGCGCGCGTCTCCCCGCGGCGTTTCGCCGGTCGCCGTGTTTTACGCAGTTAAAACGGCGGTGTCGGCCGCGGCGGACGCGCGTAGCATCGCAAATGTCGACCGTCGTTTTGCCGTCGATAACGGAAACGCGGAAACCAGACGTACGATTACGGACGCCGAATGTGACCGGACGCGGTCGATGGCGTTTTCGTTTCAACGACGGCGCGACGGACCCGAGCGAAAGCCTGGACGTCTTCGAGGTGATTCGCGATATCGTTAATCGTATACATCCGCAGCGGTCCGGTATTTATTATTATTATTATTATTATTTTTTTTTTTTTTCGGAAAACGAAAGCCGCTCGTATCCGCTCGTTCTGCGAAAATCCGCGGTGTTATTCGTTTAAAACCTCCTGATGCGTTGCGCGTATTCCGGCGGTAGGACGACGCGGCGTTGGACTCTCGTGTGCAGGTCGCGGACGACACGAATCGAAAAGGGCCGGTGACCGTTGAAAATTGTTATTAATCTTTGTCGAATCGCAATTTGCCTGGGTATCTCATTTTCGATACCGCGCAATTGCCGCGCGCGTTCGATCCGGACAAGAAAATCCGTCGGCGCGAAACGGTGTTGGTCGATAGTGAATAAATCGGTATTTTCTTTGTTTTTATAAAGTTCGACTTTGTATCCTTTTTCACGAAATCGGTTCAGATAATTGGCTTTTAGCGGTCAGAAACGAAAATTCGCACAAGATAACGTATACGACATAGTACGTTTTATAGGCGATTTTCAACCCGTTTCTAAAAGTCGTTTTTCATCGACGGTACGGTGTAATTTTACCGTGAAAACGCCCTCAAATATGTTATTCACGACGTGTACTCTTTGTATCCTATATAGATTCCCGACCAGTTTTTAACGGTGACAAAATTAAAAAAAAGCAACCGCACGCGACTGACTGATCGATCGATACGCCGTCGTGGTATAGTTTCGGTAGATTTACGGGTCGGGTACCCGCGTTGTACCGGTGAAGAAAACACGACTACGCAATAATGTACTCGGCTCAGAATCGTTTTTTTTTTTTTTTTTTTTTCGCGCTTGTGCGCTCGTCCGTCACTCTTACCGCGCGCGTCCCCGCGTCCCGTCCGGCCCGTAATTTATTATTTCCCCTCAAAAAACGACTTTTGACTCTCGACGCGTCACGCGCGATAAACTCGCGGGCGATAACGATCGTCCGCTCGCCCGCCGCCGCCGCCTCCGCGTTATAACAGCCGCGCGCGCGGACTCTCGTGCACGGACGGGTAACCGCGCGTACGGTTACCGCGGCACGGCGCGGCATATTATCGTCGCCGTCGTCGTCGCTGTTGTCGTCGCTGTTGTCGTCGCTGTTGGGCCGCGGCCGCGGGTCGTAAATCGCGAATCGGTACCGGGTTGCTCCCGCGAGAGCGCGCCCATGCGTCACACGATAATACAACATAATATCCCCCGTGGATATCGGCGGCGTGCGTACGTGCGCGCGAGTCGTCCGACCGGCGACACCGGTGAAAGTCCGCGCGGCAATAAACGTCGACATGTCCGCGTCGCGTCGTACAGTGCGCTCGCGATGTCGTAAAGAAGTGAAGAAAACAAAAAAAAAAAAAAAACAACCCGCAGCCCGATCGTCGTCGCCGACCCGTCACGATTTATCACGTCCGCGCGTCGCGTTCCACAGGTAGCCGCGCTGCGCGTAACGGACGTTTACACGGTCCCGCGGACCGGCGGTTTTCTCCGCGGAATTCGATTTCCGGCGTCTCTTCCCGCCCGCACGCCCTCCTCGCGGATCCGCGCCGCGGTGGTTGGGGGGGAGGGCCGTTAGAATAAATCGCGGTCGTACCGAAATGATACGATCGTGCGCGACGTCGATCGCACACCGTAACCGCGACCCGCGTCCGGACGCGATCACTTATCGCGGTATGCCTACATTGATGCATACGCTTTTTTCGTGTGTAACGATCGAGTTTGGAAATCCCGAGGGGGAGGTGGGAGGTCGATGGGTCCTCTCGCCCGTCCCGGGCCCGTCTCCGGTACGACGTCGCGTTTCTCCCGGTCGAACGCCAATACGCAGTACGCCCGCGCTTTCGGTTTTCGAACGGGGCACGAGGTCAGTCACACGCCGCGGCCGCAGCCGTTGAATCCGCCCGAACGGCAACGGCGGAATGCCGAAAGCCGCGTTAAAAAAAAAAAATCGAGTCGCTCGATCGTCTCGCGACGTCCGCGCGCGTGCGGCGAGTTGTCCGGCCGTTTTCGTCTTCGTGTCCGTTCCCCGGATAATTACGCGATTCGCGACCCGACGGACCGCCGTTCGATGACGCCGATCGATAGCCGCGCGCGCGTGCCCGAAATTCCTCCTCCCCCCTCCCAACACCTCCATCGGGTCCGCCACCGACAGGACCGGATCGCGGGCCATGGGGGGGGGGATTCGGAGCCAAAGGCCGATTCGCGCCTTCGTATCGTGCGCGGCGCCCTTCAATGGCCCCCCCCCCACGTCTCGATCCAGACCTGTCCCGCGGTGCACGGACGTCGTACCCGTCGGAAACCCTCACCGGGCGACAGGGACAGTTCGCGCGACGAATATCGCGCCCCTTACGTTGTACGACAATTGAAAACGGACGACCGTACGACGATGCGAACGCGCATCACGGCCATCCACTCGGATTTTTTTATTATTTTTTCAATAACGTTTTCGGTCCGATCCGCGGTTGTTCGCGCTCACGGTATTTTATCGGCGTATCGGACTACGTATAAATTAATTTTAATTTTTTTTTTTTTTTCGTCCTAACGCTCCGCAGTTTCTACGTACGAACGAACGCCGCGTGTCGGCGCCGACATTTCAAACGCACGGCGAAACTCCGCGGTACGTGTCGACTGTTATTTTCTACGCGTATACGACGTCTCGTAAATGCGGTTTTTTATTATTATTATTATTTTTTTTTAATCGACGTATAATTCCGCGCGGCGACAAAACGGATATCTCGACACAGGTACATAATAACGATAATAGTATGCGCGCGTACGGCGGCGGGAGAGTGGAAACGACTAAATTTTCGGTTATCGATCGTTTTGCCGGTGCGCGCGCGCGCGCGTGTGTGTGTGTGTGTGTGTGCGTGCGTGCTCGCGCGTAGAATACTATTACGTTTTATAATCGGGTCCCGGACCCGTAAAACCGAGAATTAAACGTCGGCGGCGCCGGCGGCGGGGGTAACTGTATACGTATATATACACGGGTATCGGTATACGGGCACGGGTATAATAAATATGGAAAAAAAAAAAAAAAAAAAAATTAATAATAAACGACAAAACGAAAAAAAAAAAGAAAA